CCGGTTTCCCTGAACCCCTTCATAAATGTTACTTTGCTCACACTCCAACAGCACGTCAAGTATTAAAAACCATTTGTCTCCATTCACTCCTATCAAACACGCTCATGCATGCCTGCTGGAAGTCCAAGCCCCTCGCACACAAAACCTCCTTTACCCCCTCTCTCCAACCTTTCCTAGGCCGACCCCTACCCCGCCTTCCTTCCACTACAGACTGATACACTCTTGAAGTCATTCTGTTTCGCTCCATTCTCTCTACATGTCCGAACCACCTCAACAACCCTTCCTCAGCTCTCTGGACAACAGTTTTGGTAATCCCGCACCTCCTCCTAACTTCCACACTACGAATTCTCTGCATTATATTCACACCACACATTGCCCTCAGACATGACATCTCCACTGCCTCCAGCCTTCTCCTTGCTGCAACATTCATCACCCATGCTTCACACCCATATAAGAGCGTTGGTAAAACTATACTCTCATACATTCCCCTCTTTGCCTCCAAGGACAAAGTTCTTTGTCTCCACAGACTCCTAAGTGCACCACTCACTCTTTTCCTCTCATCAATTCTATGATTCACCTCATCTTTCATAGACCCATCCGCTAACACGTCCACTCCCAAATATCTGAATACATTCACCTCCTCCATACTCTCTCCCTATAATCTGATATTCAATCTTTCATCACCTAATCTTTTTGTTATCCTCATAACCTTACTCTTTCCTGTATTCACCTTTAATTTTCTTCTTTTGCACACCCTTCCAAATTCATCCACCAATCTCTGCAACTTCTCTTCAGAATCTCCAAGAGCACAGTGTCATCAGCAAAGAGCAGCTGTGACAACTCCCACTTTGTGTGTGATTCTTTATCTTTTAACTCCACGCCTCTTGCCAAGACCCTCGCATTTACTTCTCTTACAACCCCATCTATAAATATATTAAGCAACCACGGTGACATCACACATCCTTGTCTAAGGCCTACTTTTACTGGGAAATAATTTTGTTAGTTTACACTAACATATATTAAGTTAGCAATAGAACCAGGCATCAAAAAACAATAAAAAAGTACAATACACACATAGTGCACTCATTACTTACCTTAAAATATTTATAGTCTTAATCTAGGGTGAGACAAGTAGTATTTATTGTAAGAAATCAAGTGTGGTATGTATGGTATTCAGCCAGGCTACCATACCAGGCCACCCACCCACACATACAATTCTATGATATTTAAGCATCCCAGAGCAATAAAATGTATATACAGTTCACTCATTACTTACCTTAAAATATAGGGTGAGATGAGTAGTATTTATTGTAAAAAATCAAGTGTGGTATGTATGGTAGTCAGCCGGGCTACCATACAAGGCCAACCCACCTACACATAATATTCTATTACATTTAAGCATCCCAGAGTGATAAAATGTATATACAGTTCACTCATTACTTACCTTAAAATATATGTAGTCTTAATGTAGGGTCAGGAGTAAGTAAATGAGATAAAACGAATAAATGAGAGACAGAAAGAATGAGTGCATGAGAGAGTACAGGCGCAGAGTTATGTAAACAAACCAGGCGAAGGTAAGTTTTGTAAACAAAGTGTACACGTCTGGTTTGTGTACAAGTTACATCGTGTACAAGTTGTCTCTACATTGATACGGTAGAATAAATAAAGAAGAACACTCCCATTCTCATGTAACATCATTTTGAGAAGAAATGATGCTCTGAGTGAAGGCAATGGAAATAAGTCACTCTGACTTTTTTGGGTTATCCTAGGTTCTCTACACATATGTTGTTACGTATGATAATCTATGTAACTGTATTTGTGTATACCTGAATAAACTTACTTACATACATACGAAAGGAATAATTTTCTACAGTTACTCCCAGTAACACATTTTCTCTTATGTTAGATTAGAGAAAATGTTATTCTTGGCGTCACTTGTACAAGTTATCTGGCTACCACATCTCATATTTATGCTTATTTATTCTATTGGGGGGTGTATTTATCATCTTTTTATGTTATGTATCGTGTTTATTATATAATTTTGAAAAAATATCATAGATGGATTAATGAAAATGTGTATTTAACGTAATATACGACATTTAAACGAGACTCGATGATTATTATCATCATTACTAATATGACGTCTGGAGACATAAGACACTCTTACTGATTTTAATGTGTACCTGCATGCCAGCACAGTATGTAAGTTTATTTAAGTACAGGTATACATAAGTATAATTATCAGAGTATATATAAAATATGAAATAACTTTTCATGGGATAAAGATAGAAATGTTAAAAGCAGGTGGGGATATAGTTTTGGAGTGGTTGGCACAATTATTTAATAAATGTATGGAAGAGGGTAAGGTACCTAGGGATTGGCAGAGAGCATGCATAGTTCCTTTGTATAAAGGCAAAGGGGATAAAAGAGAGTGCAAAAATTATAAGGGGATAAGTCTGCTGAGTATACCTGGTAAAGTGTATGGTAGAGTTATTATTGAAAGAATTAAGATTAAGACGGAGAATAGGATAGCAGATGAACAAGGAGGCTTTAGGAAAGGTAGGGGGTGTGTGGACCAGGTGTTTACAGTGAAACATATAAGTGAACAGTATTTAGATAAGGCTAAAGAGGTCTTTGTGGCATTTATGGATTTGGAAAAGGCATATGACAGGGTGGATAGGGGGGCAATGTGGCAGATGTTGCAAGTGTATGGTGTAGGAGGTTGGTTACTGAAAGCAGTGAAGAGTTTTTACGAGGATAGTGAGGCTAAAGTTAGAGTATTTAGGAAAGAGGGAAATTATTTCCCAGTAAAAGTAGGCCTTAGACAAGGATGTGTGATGTCACCGTGGTTGTTTAACATATTTATAGATGGGGTTGTAAGAGAAGTAAATGTGAGGGTCTTGGCAAGAGGCGTGGAGTTAAAAGATAAAGAATCACACACAAAGTGGGAGTTGTCACAGCTGCTCTTTGCTGATGACACTGTGCTCTTGGGAGATTCTGAAGAGAAGTTTCAGAGATTGGTGGATGAATTTGGTAGGGTGTGCAAAAGAAGAAAATTAAAGGTGAATACAGGAAAGAGTAAGGTTATGAGGATAACAAAAAGATTAGGTGATGAAAGATTGAATATCAGATTGGAGGGAGAGAGTATGGAGGAGGTGAATGTATTCAGATATTTGGGAGTGGATGTGTCAGCAGATGGGTCTATGAAAGATGAGGTGCATCATAGAATTGATGAGGGGAAAAGGGTGAGTGGTGCACTTAGGAGTCTGTGGAGACAAAGAACTTTGTCCTTGGAGGCAAAGAGGGGAATGTATGAGAGTATAGTTTTACCAACGCTCTTATATGGGTGTGAAGCATGAGTGATGAATGTTGCAGCGAGGAGAAGGCTGGAGGCAGTGGAGATGTCATGTCTGAGAGCAATGTGTGGTGTGAATATAATGCAGAGAATTCGTAGTTTGGAAGTTAGGAGGAGGTGCGGGATTACCAAAACTGTTGTCCAGAGAGCTGAGGAAGGGTTGTTGAGGTGGTTCGGACATGTAGAGAGAATGGAGCGAAACAGAATGACTTCAAGAGTGTATCAGTCTGTAGTGGAAGGAAGGCGGGGTAGGGGTCGGCCTAGGAAAGGTTGGAGAGATGGGGTAAAGGAGGTTTTGTGTGCGAGGGGCTTGGACTTCCAGCAGGCATGGGTGAGCGTGTTTGATAGGAGTGAATGGAGACAAATGGTTTTTAATACTTGACGTGCTGTTGGAGTGTGAGCAAAGTAACATTTATGAAGGGGTTCAGGGAAACCGGCAGGCCGGACTTGAGTCCTGGAGATGGGAAGTACAGTGCCTGCACTCTGAAGGAGGGGTGTTAATGTTGCAGTTTAAAAACTGTAGTGTAAAGCACCCTTCTGGCAAGACAGTGATGGAGTGAATGATGGTGAAAGTTTTTCTTTTTCGGGCCACCCTGCCTTGGTGGGAATCGGCCAGTGTGATAACAATAATATATATATAACTTTTAAAAACATTTGAAATTTTGGAGTTTCCAGACAAAATGGAGAGACTTAGTGCTTACTGAGCTCACGAAGAATGTAAACAAACAGGGTGGGGCGCGGTGACCGTATTAGAAAATCAGGTGGGGGGAGCCGTATAGCGAGTTTTGTTCATAATTTGAAATGACCGTATTAGCAGAACACCGTAAAGTGAAACGCCGTAAAGCGGGGCCCTGCTGTACTGCATTAGTGTAAAAACTGGTATAAATAATATTGGTGCACTTGCAAAAGAATATTAGACTCACCAGTTGACGTGTATTGGACGCTTGGCCTGATTTGTTTACTTTTGAACTTTGGTAAAAATCGAACATTTCTGCTAATTTGAGCTTAATTTCAAGGTACTTTTCATTGTAAAACTAGTCAAAATCATCTCAATTTCTGTAATATGTCTTCCATTCTATAAAATGAGACCAAGAAAACTAGAATACAACAATAAATACCATACGAAAATACAGTGCAAAGTCGCTGTTTTATTCCAAAAAAAACGGTCAGTTTTTTTTTCTCATTATGCACTGTGTGCTGCAGGATTTTTTTTATACTGTGCACACTAACCACATAGACCCATTCTTTCATATGTAGGCCTACCAGCTTTCTCCCACTAGATTTGAGGGCACTAGAATTTTGGCATACTAGTACGTCAAAAACCCTGGGTCGTAAGCCGTACTAGTATGGCCGAAACCCTCAAAGGGTTAAATGAAGAATGCCAGTACTCTTATTATATCTGTATATTACAAATAAATGGCAAGAGAAATATTTGTAATTATTACAAAATTATTCAAGTACTACATATTTTACTCAAATTTTTAATTCTGCTTCAGGCCTGCAGCTCGAGTTGTCAGGAATGCTATAATAAACAGGATGAGAGACAATAGTTAAAGTCCTGGAATGATCTCAAACTTCAGAAACTTCAAACAAGATGAGAAACTTACTTTCATGTCTAAGGATAATGCAGACAGTCAACACTTACCTCAGTGATGTAGTTGACATCTGACACGAGAGAGAAGCTGTCAACTCTTATTCGTGAGATGTGTGACTGAAGGAGGATGTTGACCTTGCCATGCACATTTTCAGTGCCACCCATTGCTGCCACTTCACATTGATGGTGAAGATCATCCAACTCAACCATCTCTTCATCCCGAACCTGTAAATCAACAGTGCTGTTACTCAGGCCAATATTTAATCTTCATATTAAAAGACAAAATGAATCACACTTGCCTCTCACTTACCCTGAAACTGTAGCCCATGGGTGACTTTACCAATCTCCCGTGTGCATTTTTTATTAGAAAGTATTTTATGATAAAGAATGTGAAATACAATAAAATCATTAAAAAAAATCTTAGTACATTCCACTCAGAAAAATGAAGATCTAGTGACAAAAAAAAAAAAAAAATCTAGCATAACACAAATATTTAATTTATAATATTTGTTTTTTCAACACATCGGCCGTTTCCCACCAAGGCAGGGTGGCCCAAAAAGGAAAAATTCTCATCATGATTCACTCCATCACTGTCTAGCCAGAGGCATGCTTATACTAGTTATAAAATAGCAACATTAACACTCCTCCTTCAGAGTGCAGGCACTGTATTTCCCATCTCCAGGACTCAAGTCTGGCCTGCTGGTTTCCCTGAATCCCTTCATAAATGTTACCTTGCTCACACTCCAACAACACGTCAAGTCCTAAAAAAACATTTGTCTCCATTTGCTCCTCTCTAACACGTTTACGCAAGCTTGCTGGAAGCCCGAGCCCCTCGCATGCAAAACCTCTTTTACCCCCTCCCTCCAACCTTTCCTAGGCCGACCCCTACCCTGCCTTCCCTCCACTACAGATTTATACATTATTGAAGTCATTCTATTTCATTCCATCCTCTCTACAAGTCCAAACCATCTCAATAACCCTTCCTCAGCCCTCTGGATAATAGTTTTGGTAATCCCACAAGTCCTCCTAATCTCCAAACTACAGATTCTCTGCATTATATTCACACCACACATTGCTGTCAGACATGCTATCTCCACTGCCTCCAGCCTTCTTGTTGCAACATTCACAACCCATGCCTCACAACCATACAAGAGCATTGGTATAACTATACTCTCATACATCCCCCTCTTTGCTTTCAAGGATCAAGTTCTTTGTCTCCACAAACTCCTCAGTGCACCACTCACATATTTTCCCTCTTCAATTGTATGATCTGCCTCATCTTTCATAGAGACCCATCCACTGACACTTCCACTCCCAAATATCTGAGTACATTCACCTCCTCCATACTCTCTCCCAATCTGATATCCTATCTTCTGTTACCTAAATTTTTAGTTATCCTCATCACCTTACTCTTTCCTAAATTCACTTTTAATTTCCTTCTTTTACATACCCTACCAAACTCGTCAACCAACCTCTGCAACTTCTCTTCATAATCTCCCAAAAGCACAGTCTCATCAACAAAGAGCAACTGTGACAATTCCCATTTTGTGTTAGATTCTTTATCTTCTAACCCAACACCTCTTGCCAACACCTGAGCATTCACTTCCCTTACAATCAAATCATGTTGAACAACCATGGAGACATAACACATTCCTGTCTAAGGCCTACTTTTACTGGGAAATAACCTCCTTCTCACCTACATACTCTAACCTGAGCCTCACTATCCTCGTTAAGACTCCTCACTGCTTTCAATAACCTACCTCCAATTCCATACATTTGCAACATCTGCCATAGTGCCCCCCTATCCACCCTCTCATACACCTTCAAATCCATAAATACCACAAAACCCTCTTTACCTTTATCTAAATACTGTTCACCTATATGTTTCACTGCAAACACTTGGTCTACATGCCCCCTACCCTTCCTAAAGCCTCCTTGATCATCTGCTATCCTACTCTCCATCATACTCTTAATTTTTTCAATAATAACCCTACCATACAATTTACCAGGTATATTCAACAGACTTATTCCCCTATAATTTTTATGCTCTCTTTTATCCCCACTGCCTTTATACAAAGGAACTATGCATGCTCTCTGCCAATCCCTAGGTACCTTACCCTCTTCCATACATTTATTAAATAAAAACACTAACCACTCCAAAACTATATCCCCACCTGCTTTTAACATTTCCATCTTTATCCCATCAATCCCAGCTGCCTTACCCCCTTTCATTCTACCTACTGCCTCATGCACTTTCCCCGCACTCACAACTGGTTCTTCTTCACTCATGTAAGATGTTATTCCTCCTTGCTCTAAACACAAAATCACAGCTTCCCTATCTTCATCAGCATTTAACAATTCCTCAAAATATTCCCTCCATCTTCTCGATACCTCTAACTCTTTGTTTAATAACTCTCCTCTCCCATTTTTAACTAGCAAATCAATTCATTCCCTGGACTTTCTCAACTTATTAATCTCACTCCAAAACTTTTTCTTATTTTCAACAAAATTTGTTGATAACATCTCACACACTCTCATTTGCTCTCTTTTTACATTGCTTCACCACTCTCTTAACCCCTCCATATTCTCCTCCCACCTTGCATCACTTCTAGTTTGTAAAAACCTCTCATATGCTAACTTTTTCTCTCTTACTACTCTCTTTACATCATCATTCAACCAATCGCTCTTCTTCCCTCCCGCACCCACATTCCTATAACCACAAAGTTCTGCTGAGCACTCTAACACTATATTCTTAAACTTACCCCATGCATCTTCTACCCCATTGCCTGTACTCACTGACCTATCTGTCCTCCAACAGTTGTTTATATCTTACCCTAACTGCCTCCTCCTTTAATTTATAAACCTTCACCTCTCTCACATGCTGCTTCTATTTTCCTTGTATCCCATCCACCTTTTACTCTCATTGTAGCTACAACTAAAAAGTGATCTGATATATCTGTGGCCCCTCTATAAACATGTACATCCTGAAGTCTACCCAACAATCTTTTATCTACCAATACATAGTCCAACAAACTACCATCATTATGCCCTATGTCATATTTTGCATACTTATTTATCCTCTTTTTCTTAAAATATGTGTTACCCATAACCAAACTGCTTTCTATACAAAGTTCAATCAAATGCTCCCCATTATCATTTACACCTGGCACCCTAAACTCACCTACCACACCCTTTATAAATGCTTCCCCTACTTAAGCATTTATTATAATAATTTGAACTTATTAAGTAATTGTTTAGTCCAGAATTACTGAACTACCAACAACCCACCAGATTATATGTTAAGAATCTCTACCATAAAATAAATCATCTTAAATTGCAAGCAATAGTATACAGTAGGACCCCGATTTATGATGTTCTGCACTACAACACTAGCATTTTGGAACCAGATCTGTAATAATAATTTCAAATACCGTATTCAAATAAATTATCTACAAAGAGAGTTTTTATCAAGTACTGTATTTTTTCACAAAATACCTTCACACATTGCATGTGTATATTTTATACATGGGTAGAATTCAAGATTTGGTAAATATAGTTAAAGAAATGCCAATTTAGCAATTACAATCTTAAAATCACATTGATTTTTTTTTTCAATACGTCGGCCGTCTCCCACTGAAGCAGAGTGACCCAAAAAAGAAAACACTTTCACCATCATTCACACATAATCACTGTCTTTGCAGAGGTGCCCAGATATGACATTTTAGAAGTCACTCCAAACAGCCAATATTCCAAACGCCTCCTTTAAAGTGTAGGCATTGTACTGTCCACCTTCAGGACTCGAGTCCAGCTCACTGGTTTCCCTAAATCCTTTCACAGAATATTACCCTGCTCACAACTCATCAGGTCCCCCAAAACCATTTGTCTCCATTCACTCCTAACACTCTCACACAAGCCGCTGATTCCAGCCCCTTGCACACAAAACCTTTTTTAGCCCCTCCCTTCACCCTTTTCCCGGGAGGGACCCCCACCTTTCCCCCTCCACTACAGTTTATCCCCCTCCAAGTCACCTATTTTTTTCCATCCTCTCAAAATTTTAGCCAAACCACCTCAACAACCCCTCTTCACCCCTTGAATTTTATTTTATTAATCCCCATTTCCCCCTGATTTCCACATAAAAATTTCTCGAAAATATTTAAAAACCACACATTGCCCTCAACATAATTTCCACTGTTTCCCAGCCTTCTTCCACTGCGCACTCAAAACCCCCTGCTTAAAACACCCATATAGGTGTTGTCACTATACTCTTACATTTTCTTCCTTCCCTCCAGGTAACATTTTTTGTTCCACAGATACCCCCGTGCCCCACTCACCATTTTTCCTTCATAAATTTCTATTAAACTGGGGAAACCCAACACCCAGAAAAACATAAAAAGACTGGGGAAAATACTTGGATTTCTTCTTAAAGCTGTTGAAATTTCATTCCCTACCACCTCTTTTTTGTTATAAAAAAAATAGGGTTTTCATTACATTTGGACAAAAAAAGATACACTAACTGTATAAAGTGGCATTTTAAATCCCAAGGTTTGAGGAATACATTAAAAATATGAACAAAATGTTGGAGTGTGTCAAAAATCATATTAAAAAAAATTCATCCAGTTGCTCACAGTTTGTTAGAGCTAAATTTATTTATTATTTTTATTCAGATTTTCCACCATAGCTTCGATTTTTAATTCATTTTAGTGATGTATGCTGGGGTCAAAAATGCTTGTCAAAGGGTTTTTGTTAAGAAGTACATATAAAAAAATATTGTTATATGGAAGCAATCATGCAAATCATGACAGTGGAAGAGGCAGCAACACTTTTAACTTCGTCACCCCAAATTGCATGAAAAAAGGGAAAAGGGGTTTACTGTCGGAGATGGGTAGGGGGGGGGGGGGGGGAATGGTAATTGTATGAGTGGAGTCCAGTGTGAGTGTGGTGGCAGAGGAATGGTGCAATGTGGTGGTTGATTACAGTTTGGCAGATGAATGAAGGGGATAATACAGTGTGGAGGAGCAAAGTGGGGGTGTTGTGTATCGTACACTGTAGGGGTAAAGTAGCACAGATATGGTATATGGTAGAGATGCAAGACTGTAGTGTGTGTCATTGGGGAAACACATTCCAAGGGGTAGTACTGTGGTGTAGTTTTTTAGGGATAGTTCACTATAGGAGTATAGTGGGAGCTGATTACATTGGGGGTTGGTGTGGGGTACAGTACATTATAG